ACCAAACGCTTTTCATTTTCTCCAAGTGTATGAATTGGGTATGGTCAGTCAAGGCTGGAAGTTATCCAGTCATTATTTGAAAAAGAAGAGTTTTGGTTCACAAGTGAAGGGTCTCGTTATGGAGAATGAATACACGATCTGGGTTCAGTCAAAGAGACTCCTCAGGGTGAACTTGCGTAACAAGGTCTTTGATATTTTCTTCTTTAGGATCTGAGGCCTTGATCTTCACGATGGTCAAGAAACTCTTGACCTTTGGATGCCAAAGAGGAGAGGGAGAGAATTCAGGAAAAGAATATGATGCTTAGGCTTTGTTTTCTCTCTGTTGTTACCTAGTCTGGATCTATCGTGTGACTGAGTGGACTTACAAGTAACCTTGGACTTTTTCCTTACCAGAAATGCTTTAAAATATAGATTCTATCCATACTTGAAAGAAGTGATTAATTCCATGCAACAGAGAATTGGTTTCTTTTAGTGGTGATTTGCTATCCCTTATTGTTTAAGGTTTCGATTAAATGGCAAATCTTCTAGTCAGTGTGTCCAAGAAGGAATGACAGTGATCTGGAGTAATAAGTTTCCTGTCTGTGAACGTGAGTAGAAAACAAGAATCATCAAATATGGATCTTGCCTCTTGATGTTGTTTGTGTTTACATACGTTTGCCAACTATAACATCTTATCCATGTGTGTGCTTTGAATGAAGACATCTGTATTTATGTATCTATATCCATACAGGCATATGTAGATAGATATGTAGATGCCCACTTTTCTCTCTGTTTTAGCATGTAGAACCAGAAGGGTTAAATTTACTCAGTTGACTGCATGTTGTACTGTGGATTCTAGTTACCTGGACCAAAACCAAGCATAGAAGGATGTGCTAAAACAGTTAAACTGTGGCTTCCTGTGCAAGTTCCTCTACTGAAGGGCTCCTCTTGGAGCCAGGGAAATTAACTAAAAAGGGTGGGGTTTGGTAGTTTTCTCTTTGTTCTGAGGCTTACCCAGGAGAGGTGTGCATATTAACAACTAATACCATTCATGCCCATGAGGACCCCCAAATAAAGGATATGAAGTGATTATTCAAAGATTCTGTTCACTTCCTGTGACTTTCTCAAAGGAATCTAGCTTTGAGGAATGGCAGCTGACCTGTGGTCAAGTTGTAGTATCTGTAGAGGTAGGACCAAACGTGATCATGCCCAGGTATGCGGTGCATTTGAAATAGGCACTGGGTGATTATTCTGTTCTAGGTACTGAACTTGCCCCTTTCCCATATTTTTGTCTCACTGAATTCTCATCACACTCCATGAAGTAACTTGAATTATACTATTGATAAAGAAACTGAGGCTGAGAGAAGATACAACTTGCCTAAGGTCATACAGCTATTGAATGACAGTGGAGATTTGAAATCAGGTCTACTGAGCGTGAATGTCATTAGTCTAAGATGCCTCCTCATATGTAATTACCATGTCATTAATATATTATTCTCATGTGCTATTTGTTTATTGTTTCTTATTAAAATTGTTTAGCTAGAACTATTGTACAAATTCAGTTTCACTGTTATTGTTTGGTTAAAATGGTTTATATTGATTTGTTAGCTGAGGATTGAGAAACAGGTAAGAATTTAGGATCTTGGGAATCAATGAGGACTGTAAGTAAGACATAAATCATACAAATACCTAAGCCAATTTCTGAAAAGTGGCATTTGAATCTTTCATTTAAGTTTGAATATTTTAGTGTCACCTTCAGTGTGCCAACATAATTCCTTTTCTATTTTTCAGGAATTTCTTGTGACCCTCCTCCTCCTATAGAAAATGGTCGGAACAGTGCTTACTCACAACCTATACGTCTTGGTACCGCAATAAGGTACACTTGTGGGGCTAAATTTCGTCTCATCGGAGAAAAAGTTATTTTGTGTACAAGTAAAGACCAAGTGAATGGAGTCTGGGATAAACCTGTTCCTGTATGTGAATATTTCCAAAAAGATTCTTCTTGCTCTGAGCCCACCGTACCAGGGGGATACAGAAATAGAGAAGCTAGACCGCCATACAAACATGGTGATTCTGTGACATTTACCTGTAAAGCCAACTTCACCATGAAAGGAAACAAAACTGTTTGGTGCCAAGCAAATAAAAAGTGGGGCCCAACGCCACTACCGACCTGTGAGAGTGGTGAGTGAGAAAGAAAAACCTAGTTGAGGGGCTGGGGTCTCCCATCTCTGTGCAAACCACACTTTGTCTCTTCCCGAAGGGAGGAAAAAGATGGATTTCAGGATGATAGGGGTGGAGGGAGGAAGCAAGGGAAAATTTGAAAATTGAGGTTTCCGTCTTTTTCCTTCATCGTGGAGGAATTAGACTGTCAATTTGAAGAACATGACTTGAGCAAAGGAGTTTGAAGTATTAGAGGAAAATGTCATTGATCCTTCTTAATAACTGAGTGGAAAGAAAGTCTCCTAAAGATGGGAGGCCAGAGTTTACTAGAGCTATGGGATTTGAGTGATTTTAAACTATGCATTTGGGTTACTACTAAAGTAATAAGAAATGTGGGATCTAATAGAAAAAAATTCACCCAGTGGATGTAAAATCCATTGAGGAAGGCTGTACTATAATCTGGCGCAAGTGACACTCTGTCCTCTGTGCTTGGTAAGCACATTCTGAAGTGACACCTGGTATCTCTTCAAGTTATCTCCTGAGACGACATCACTCTTCGGATCAAAAGACTTTGAAAACTGGACTACTTTCAATTCTTCATTTTCTTCTCATCTGGTTTGGTTTATATTCCAAATGCTCTCCAAATCAAATTTCAATTCTCCAGTTACAAGGACTGACAATATTTGAAAATGTTATAGCATCACAACTAGATATTTATTTTCTTAATAAGGAATAATATTGATAAATTCTAAATGGATTAAAGGGCCAAGAAACTATTCAATCATTAACAATATAATTCCATCTACCAATAGATTGATCTATAAATAGATAGGTACCTAAATGTGAGGATAGTCTCAGAGGAGGAAATTTTTAAGATAGTCACAAAATTGAATGACTATGGGAAATAGTAACTAAGTTTTTGTAAAACTTTAGGTAGATGTACGTATACTGACATATATAGACACATTTGTATGATATAGACATACTCTATTATTAAGTACAGGAAGCATACGATAATATGTATGGAGTATGCCCACAATATATATTAGTGTATATATGTATCACATGTTGGATACCAGTAAGCTATATGACTAATACCTGGCAGGATTACCCTGCAAATAATAAAGTACTACTTTTGGAGCAGAGAACAAACTTAAGGACAGGATGAAAAAATATGGGTAAAAGTGGATACTTTTAGCAACTGAAATTTTTCTCAAGGCAAAATCAATTCATATAGTGTAATTAAAGATGAAAATTAATGCAAGAGTCAGGGCATAAAGTGTATACAATTAAACCACACTTGAAGTTGAAAATTAGTGACAGCTGGTTGCTATAAATTACATGCCATTTATTTGAATCTATGTCCTAAAGTCAGCAGACAGATTGTGAAGCCCATCTCATCTGATGGCTTTTTTTCCTAATATGTGTGTGTGTGTGTGTGTGTGCGTGTGTGTGAAGATATCCCTCTGCAGTGTCCAACACTTCCTGAGATCCACGATGGACATCACACAGGGCAAGATGTGAGCCAGTTTGCCCCAGGATTTTCTGTGACTTACAGTTGTAAACGTGGCTACTTGCTTAATGGAGAAAAGATCATTAGGTGTCTATCTTCGGGAGAATGGAGTGCTGCCCCTCCCACATGCAAAGGTACCCTATATTTGCAATCTGTTTCAAGGAATTGGGCTGTGCTGTGATTTGCCACCGTTTCTTATATGTGGCTTGTATTTTTAGAGGCACGGTGTGACACTCCGGCGCAGCTTCTCAATGGGCAGGTAGAGGTACCTCAAAGTCTTCTGCCTGGAGTGACTGTGAAATTCTCCTGTAATGAAGGGTGAGTATCAGGAGTCTCTTTGAGATTTAATTTATTTGGATGACCCATGCATGGTGGAAACTGAAACTTGCAGAAGAATCTCTGGGAGGATCTATGGCTATCCCGAGTGAGGTTGTAAGAGAGAGAGCTGGTTTTAAAAAAAAAAAAAAAAAAGAGAGCTGGTTTTAAAAAAAAAAGACAAATTCAAATGGAATGAATTTGTCTTGTATTTTGAGTGAGAGGCTGACGTTCTTCAGCACAAACTGCCTGACAGCTCTGAATGACCACCCTCTGTCTCCAGGTACAGATTACAAGGCCAACCTTCTAGTCAGTGTGTAATTGCTGGAAATAAAGCTATTTGGACCAAGAAGCCTGTATGTGAAGGTATGTAAGAACCGTAGGGCATATGTAGAACACCATGGTGGTTTGACAGGATGCTGCAGTCTCAGCTTTACAAAAAGCTTCTGGTTCATTCACTAGCATACAGACTCTTATAGAGCAAAGGATGCCTAGAAATCCTAAGCAGCAGGGTCTTCATTGAAGCAGCCTTCAATTGTCTCTTTATTCTCAGCCTCCCTCAAGTCAAATGGGCTTCCTAGGCTTTTCCTTCTCTGAAAGCTACATAGACTTGTGAAATCATTAAAAAAACATTGGATAGTTGGTAATAGGAACCAAAGGATCAGCTGAGTCAATATACTCAAACATGAAGATTTAAAGTCATACTTTTAAATTATATGGTTTTCGCTGTCTTGATGGAGTTATTACAGATATCACTGTCCTTGAACCTAGGAGGTGGGAGTAGTTTCAAGCAGCACCTGAGGCATTGTCGCTTGCAGTACACCTGTGATTTTTCATCTCTCTCTAATTTCTGTAGAAATTCTTTGCCCACCACCTTCCCCTATTCTCAACGGAAGACACACAGGCAGCTCTTCAGGGAAATTTTCATATGGAAGCAGAGTCACTTACACTTGTGACCCAGACCCGGAGAAAGGAGTGAAGTTCATCCTTATTGGGGAGAACACTATCCGTTGTACCATGGATAGTCAGAAGTCGGGGACCTGGAGCGGCCCTGCACCACGCTGTGAACTTTCTACTTCCGCGGTTCGTTGTCCACATCCCCAGATCCTGAGAGGCCAAATGTCATCTGTGCCGAAAGATCAATATTCCTATAATGACACTGTGGTATTTGCCTGTGAGCCCAGCTTCACCTTGAAGGGCAGTGGGAAAATACGATGTAATGCCCAAGGCACGTGGGAGCCATCAGTGCCCGTCTGCGAAAAGGGTGAGTGTTCTGCACTGATGTATCGTCTCGAAAAGGTCGAGGAAGGATTGTGGGCTTTCAACAGGACCTTTTCCACTTCCTGTGCTCTTGGTCAAACTAAAAATAGAGTGGGCAGAAATTCTATGGAGGACTTTCTTAACACTCCCCACCCTACCATGGTTTCGTTTTGTGGAAATAGGCTTGGGGGAAAAGTATTAGGGATCATTGAGTTGTCCATTTCTTTCTTTAAAAAAAAAAATGGAAGTAAAACACTTGTTTGCCTTAACAATGTTTCTTAAAAGGGAAGTCATCAAAGCCCTCACCCAGGGATATATCAGAATCGCCCATAAAAGCATCCAAGATGGTTCCTTAAGAAGGAAGAAACAGGAGAGGAGTTAGATCAAGCAGGAACGATCTAAAATTACCCTAAACTGGGTTGCAAGATACCCTCTGTGCCACATAGCTGCTGCGAGAGTGCAATTGTGGCATTAAGGTCAATTTTTTTTTTTTTTTTTGCTCAGTTTCTGTTGTTATCTTAAAGCAATTGTTTTGTGTTTTCCTTTGCTTTAGAATGCCAGCCCCCTCCTACAATCCTCAATGGGCAAAGAGAAGGTAGACGCCTGGTCCGCTTTGACCCTGGGACCTCCATAAAATATAGCTGTAATCCCGGCTATGAGCTGGTGGGAGAAGAATACTTACACTGCACCTCGGAAGGAAAGTGGACACCCACTACCCCTCAGTGCAAAGGTATCAAGCCTCCAATGCAGATGTTTTACTGTTTTTAAGATTACCTTGTGCTGATGTCTCACCCTCATCTACTTTCCTAGTGGCAGAGTGTAAACCGATAGGACGGCAACGCTTTCAAAAACCTCAGCATCTGTTTATTAGACCAGCTGTTTACTCTTCTTGCGGTGAAGGGTGAGTGAAGGCTCTGACTTAGTAGTGCATACTACTATGTAAGAGTAGTTCATGTTCCTGCAGAGTTGATCACGCTATTTGTCCTTGCATAGAAACTATGCAATGGATAGGTGGTACTGACCCTAGCTACATTTTTGTTCCTGTTGCTTCTATCACTTCTTGTTCTGAAAGGAACAAATCTGCCTTAAAGCCAATAGTTCTCACGTAGCTTAGTGGTCAGCAGATGGCCAAATGATGTGACTCTTTATCCCTAGGTACCGGTTAAGTGAGAATGTTTATCAACTGTGTGAAGGTACAGTTCCTTGGTTTATGGAGATTCGTCTTTGTAAAGGTGAGTGGCAAAAAATGACAGAGAATCTGAAGTGATGTGCCACCTATGTGTTTCTTTGGAGATTTCGGTTTCAGATCATGCCGTGAGGATTAGTGCATTAGATTCTATTCTGTCAATTCTGTCAATGGTTACAGTGGCATAGCTTTGCCATGTCTTTCTGTTGTCACCGTTGCCTACTTCAATCACCTAAACTGAATGTATTCAGCTGCTGATTCTCTTTTGTGATTTAGGATTATGAGAATAATGAGAGTGATGACCGTGTGAACCTCCATCTTTAACATGGGGTAACTGTGGTTTAGTGAAGAGATCAGGAGATGGGGTCAGATCTGAAGTCAGATTCTGTTCCCACTGCTTAATAGCTGTATGACCTTGGGCAATTTATGTAGCTTCTCTAAAGCTCTAGACTCTCATCTATAAAACTGGCATCAAACTATAGACTTCAGAATTATTGGAATTAAATGATACTAACCCTATTTTCTGGATGGGAAAACTGCTAGTCACAAAATAGGCACTCAACCAACAGTAGATACTCTTAGCCGACTGTACTATTGTATCACCTCAGCATGAAGCACTCAAAAAAGTATAATTCTATCACCTGTACCGTTTGTCCTCCCATCGGCTATGTTCAAAGAATTCTTCCTTTAATTAGCAAGTGACTACTGGGTCTTTCTGCCTCATAATTTGATATCGATCGGTATGTTCACTTTCAATAAAGATTTTTCTTTCCTGTGAAACTGCTTAAGTTTTATATCCATAGTGAACTTCGAAATAACACCATGAAAATTCATCCATAGCCTCCGGGAAATGACAGCGTCACAACCTGCTTTGCTAATATTCTTTGGTGTCTGAGAGAGACTTCTACAGTATCTTTTCATCTCTCTAGAAATCACCTGCCCACCACCCCCTGTTATCTACAATGGGAGACACACAGGGAGTTCCTCCGAAGACGTTCCATATGGAACTATGATCACTTATACGTGTAACCCGGGGCCGGAGAAAGGAGTCCAATTCAACCTCATTGGGGAGCGCACCATCCGGTGTACAAGCACTGATGGAGAGAGAGGCACCTGGAGTGGCCCCGCTCCTCTCTGTGAACTTTCCCTCCCTGCGGTCCAGTGCTCAGAAGTCTTCATTGAAAATGGATTCAAGACATCCATAAAGCTAGCCCCATATTTCTACAATGACACTGTGACCTTCAAGTGTAATAATGGATATACTTTGAAGGGTAGTGGTCAGATTCGTTGCAAAGACAATGATATCTGGGATCCTGAAAAACCAGTTTGTGAAAAAGGTAAAAACCCAATGGGCATTTTTTTTAAAGGTATTTACTTAGTTTTTTGTTTATTACTCCCACTCAATACTAGAGTTGTGGAAAAAGCCAAGGGAGCATGAATTACTTTTCATTCCTTCGATTCTTCGAAAGAATGTTCTATGTGTGTTGTATGTATTCTTCATGCAAATGCCCCCTTAGAAATAGGATATAGTCAGGGTAGATAATGAGAGGGATTTTTTTTTAATGGGACTTGTTCTTTTACAAGAGTAGAAAGCATTCAGTGAAGAATGAGAGCTTTCTGATCCTCGGCTTCCAAGTTTTAGATGGTCTGTTGTCAAATGTTGCATACTTACAATTTTGGAGTAGAATTCCTCTGTGTTGGTGTTTATGTGGGGGAGCTTTCTCCTCAGGATGCCAGCCTCCTTCTGGGCTCCATCATGGTCGGCATACAGGTGGAAATATGGTCCTCTTTGTCCCGGGGACGACTGTAGACTACACTTGTGACCCTGGCTACATGCTGGTGGGAAACAAATCCATTCAGTGTATGCCTTCAGGACACTGGAGTCCCACTCCACGATGTGAAGGTACTTTCAGTTCCTGAGTTGTCTTTGTCTTTGAGATGGAGTATCTATGAATAAATTCCAACTTTGCTCCCCCAGAAGCATGTAAGGATGTGACAACGCTTCCAGCTGAGGCACGTGTGGAACTAGTGAACATGGCCTGTCAAGACGGGTGAGTGTGAGGTAGCCCGTTTTGAGTAAAGGGGTCTGCCTTGGGTTTGCTCACTCACTCTGCCCACAGCTTTTCTTGATGAGTTCCTTTACAGGTTCCTCCTTGTTACACCCACAGAGAGCATTAGGTTGTGGTGGTCTAACTAGCAACTCTGACTTTCTATGCTTTCTTGAAATGGGAAGAGCTTTACAGGGTTTCTAAGTCTAAAGTAGTTTTCTTATTTACAAAATCAAGAGTTCTAGCTTCCTCTGCCAAAGTTCCTATTTGGAAGTGCCTCTGTATCTGTAGTTTGAAGAAGCCCAGTTGCAGAAGTGTGATTTTTGAAAAAGGTAATGTATTATATTCTGTCTCTCACTAGGTACCGATTGACTGGACATGCTTATAAGAAATGTCAAGATGCTAAGAATGGGGTTTGGTTCCAGAAGATTCCACAATGTAAAGGTAAATTTGAAAAAAAAAAAAAAAACCACAAAACTACAAAACTACCTGTGTACATAGCGGGTTAGAGAGGGAAGGCCACCGAAGAAATTTCATTTATTTATGATTCTCCCTCAGTGTATATGTAAGTAATAGAAAATCTATCAGTGTTTGAGTCAAGCATAGTAGCACACACCTGTAATCCCAGAGGCTAGGAAGGCTGAGGCAGGAGGATCACAAGTTCAAAGCCAGCCCTCAGAAATTTAGTGAGGTTCTAAGCAATTTAGCAAGAGCTTGTCTTAAAATAAAAAATAAAAAGGACTGCGGATGTGGCTTAGTGGTTAAGCGCCCTTGGGTTCAATCCCTAGTACCAAAAAAAAAAAAAAAAACTTTCAGTGTTTTATCAACCCTTGCACTGGGAAACAAATAATAGAAAGTGAGTATTTGCCATATATTTATAAAATATATAACCATTTTAAAAAACTATAGCTCTTATTTCTAGGCCATAAGAATATAGTTATATTTCTTTCTATCTTAATACTTTTCTGAATTTTTTGGAACAAGTATGTATTACTCGTCACACCTTTTAATGAAGATGTTTAACAAAAAGCATAATCCGGCTTCCAAAAGTTTTTTAGTTATGTGAAATGTAATGCAGTTGCATAGTGTCACCTGTACTGAATGAAGATCGTCATTGTGATGGATCCACTGAAGTTGAATCCTCTAAATTTCTCCTGCAGCTATTCACTGTCCCCCTCCACCTAAGATTGACAACGGGAGGCACACGGGCGTGATGGCAGAGCACTTTCTGTATGGAATTGAAGTCTCTTATGAATGTGACCAAGGATTCTATCTTCTGGGGAAGAAAATTTTACAGTGCGGAAATGATTCTCTAGGACATGGGTCTTGGAGTGAACCTCCCCCACGGTGCCTACAGTCTCCGCCTGTAACTCACTGCCCTAACCCAGAAATCAAACATGGATACAAGCTCAACGAAACTCGTTCTGCATATTCCCACAATGACCTACTGCATGTTGCCTGCAATCCCGGCTTCATCATGAAAGGAAGTCACTTGATAAGGTGTCATACAGATAACACCTGGGTACCAGGGTTACCGACTTGTTTCAGAAAAGGTAAGTTCCTTTAAGGAATAAAATGTGGATATTGTACAAAATAAAGGTTTTTGGATATGCACTTGCCATTCTGGCTAGGGAAAAGCATTTAAAAGCTAAGGCGGTTGTATTGTTCGACAAGATATCTGATTTTCCTTCTCAATGATGCTTTTCCCTCTTTCTGTTTTCAATGTGTAGAGCAATACTATATGAAAGGACAAAAGCTAACTTCCAAATTAATTGAGGCTCCAAATTTCTTCTTCTTATGAATTTAAAATAGGAAAAATACACAGATATTTTTCTGGCTAATGTTTGACTGTAATGTTGCTTGATAATTTGATATTTGAGGCTGTCATACCAACCAGAAGGAGAACTGTAGGTGTTCCAAAGAGTGAAGCTGGCCTTCACACCCACCAAATTATCTTTCTTATAATTTTAGTTGTCACTGGGAGCTTTATTGCTGTCAATGATTATCTAGAGCAGAGACTGCCAATGAGCGACCCAAATGAATTCAGGACCCCAGAACTTCTCTGTGGCCAGCACAGTAGTCTTAAGAGAAACCCATCTCTGTTGCCCAAGAAAATTAGTGAACCTGCAAATAGTGGCATCCACAGCAATTACCACTTTTGAAAGGATAGGGGATCTCTGATTTATCACCCAGAGACTCACTTCCTAGTTCCTAAAGGCATTGGATGTGGGATCCTTAGACTACAGCCTATTTGCTAGGTAGAGGAAAAAGAAGAGAATTCTCTTGGTTGACAGATTACAACTGTGGATTAAAGCCACTGATGTTACAATATCTTCCTTTATTACTTTTCCTTAGATCATCTATGAGGTAAGTAGGAGGTATACATTTCTGTCCAGTGTTGCTTGGTCTGGTTGGAATGAATGTTTCTGGTTACCAATTAACTGGCATATGGCCGATTGCCTTTCTGCACTGTTATCACTTAAGATAGTGCTGTCTGGTATTTCTCTATGTCGAATTAAAGGTCCTTCCTTATTGATCTCTAAGCTTTCTTAGAGTGTCAGCCTCCACCTACCATCGCCAATGGGTCTCATACTGGTGGAAATAAAGCTGAGTTTGCCGCTGGAATGTCAGTCCTGTACAGCTGTGACCAAGGCTACCTGCTGGTGGGAGAAGAGTTCCTTGTCTGCACATATGAGGGAACCTGGAGTCACCCTGCCCCTTACTGTAAAGGTACTTTGTCTATTCTTTCTTTTTTTATTTTTTTTTGATCTTAGTAAATCGATTTGTTTCAAATAGATATTTTCTATGTTCAACTTAGAATCGTTGAACTGTTGAAATGTTCTATGTTCAACTTAGAATAGCCAATGAAATGCTATTAAATGGATCATTTAATTAAATGCACTTAATTGGATTAATACATTAATTAACATGAATGTTTCAAACTCAGAAAAAATGGCTTAGGCTATAGTCTGTGTGGTAAATGACCACTAATGTAATCCTTTACATACAGAAAGTTGAAGAGCTTTCATGATTAAACTTACAACAGATTGTACCTATGCTCTGGTTACAGTTATGATAAAATCATTTGATAAAATACCAATAAAAAATATGATGGTCTTTTGAGCATATTTCCTCAGGGTGGTCATGGGATTATGGGTAAATTTTTTAATAAAATCTTCAGAAAATCATCTTCACTATCAAAAACATTGCATATGAAGTATGAATAGTAAATTAATATCTAATGTTGCTGAACACATTTTACTATATGTCAGACACTGTGCAGAGCACTTTACATGCACAACCTCATGAGATCCATCTTCCTGAGATCCATAGAAGTTTGGGGCCATTATTATCCCTGTTTTATAGATGAGGTTCCAGTGGGTTGGAGAGATTTATAACTTACTCAAAGTCAGACAACTAGCAAGTAGGAGAATCAGAATTCAAATCTAAGATTTTACACTACACTGGAAAGATGAAAGAAAAATGAGAAAACATACCAGTATGAATTAGAGAGTAAGATGGGGAGTAGGAAAATAAGCCAATAATTCAAAATATTTAATATTACCCATTCAGCCTTCATCTTTTCTCTAAGAAACCTTTAGAATGATCCCATATGGAAGCAAAAAGAAAGAAAACAATCTGACTTAAATTACCTGGTGATTATTAAGACTGACAGCTGACCCTAAGAGACTATACCTGAAATATTGCTGTTTGCTATTTCAATGAAGCGTTGCTTACTGACAATGAAATAAGTTGGTTTCATAACCTTTCCATTAAAAGGAATTGCTTCTTGGGACTGGGAGGCTGTGGTTCAGTGGCAGAGTGCTTACCTCTCACATGTGAGGCACTGGGTTCGATCCTCAGCACCACATAAAAATAAATAAACAAAATAAAGATATTGTGTCCATGTATAACTAAAAAAAATTTTTTTAATAAAAGGAGCTGCTTCTTTCTCAATAAAGGGACAAAGTATGACTCCACTTCAGTCTGATTCCTTTAATTGCAGAGGTAAACTGTAACTTCACCGAGAGTATGAATGGAATCCAGAAGGGACTGGAGCCTGGGAAGATGTATCAGTATGGAGCTGTTGTGACTATGGAGTGTGAAGATGGTTATACCCTGGAGGGCAGCCCTCAGAGCCAGTGCCAAGGCGACCACCAGTGGAACCCTCCCCTGGCTGTCTGTACATCCCGTAAGTGCTAAAGCCTCACTGCTACTTGCATCTGGCCCATGGAGAGAGAGCATGAGGTGTCTGCCTCAATGTTGGAGACCGCAGGGCTTTCAATTGACATAGGTCTGTGACCAGTGGTACAATAACAATGAACTTGAAGCCAGTGGTCTCTTCTAGAAAAAGCACAGATTCCTGAGGATGCATGAAGTAAATAAAAGAAAAAGAGGGAAACATTAAGAGGAGCAAAATGCAAACTAACAGTCTTCCATTTGGAAAAGAGTTGTAGCAGTGATTTCCCTCCTTGCTTAATTTTGATTTATAAGTGCTTGCCAATTTGACAAGAGCTCCAAAAACATGTTAACCAACCTGTTAGAACTGTTCATGTTTGCATTCAATTCTGAGAAATCGATAATAACAAAGTTGAGTATATTGTTTTGTTACTTGTTGGTGAATTTCCCAACCTACCTGATTTAGGTGAAAAAAAAAATCCAGTGAATTGTCACATGATAAAAGAGTGGGTCCAACTCAGGAATCCAATCTATAATAAATAGACTTGGAAGGGAGCTGACTTCTGGTATGTTGCCAGAGGTTAATGGGACTTGGGTTACATGGAATTATACCACTAGACTGATATTTTCATGATTTTATATTCTTCTTAGGTTCATTTGCTCCTCTTCTTTCTGGTAAGTTTTCTTAAATACTTGAAGAAAATCTCTTATTGTCTCTTATTTATAAAAATAAATACTTACAAAATTAGATGCCCTATAGTCCTTTAATATTTTTTCATTTCAATTTATTGGATAGGATCCTATTTTAATGTGTATGTCATATTATAAAATATCCCTTTGGATAGAGTTGCATAAGTAATTTAAATAGCCAACTATTCCTGCTTTTTAAAATGAAAGTTTTGCTTTCATTACCCCTTGGTCTTTTGCATGATTTGGTACTTTTGAAAAAAAATTCTGCTCTAGCAAAATAGAACTGAGAGTCAAATGTTGTTATGCAAAAATCATGGCATCCTGGTGTCCTGGGCTCCTAATTTCACCTCAGTGACAATGTTACTAATAAAACCAAAAGAAACAAACAAACAAAAAAAACCCAATAGAAAGTTGACTGGAACCCTGTGATATCATGCTTGCTGTTTTAGATAAAACGTGGACTGGCTCAAATCAGGAAAACATTAGGCCCAGTTATGATTTATTCAGGAACTCAATGTTTATGGTTGAGAAAATTTAAATATAAAACTTTTTAATACTTCTTAAGCACAAAACACTCAGCGTAAGCCCCACAATCAGTCCATAACGGTATAGGTCATGTCTTCCTGGCATTTGATGGTCACTGTTTTTTCCCCTAGGTATCGTGGCAGGTTCAGTACTTGCTCTCTTCTTGGTTGGTGTCTCCTTATACATGATACTAAAGTACAGAGAACAGTAAGTTCAAATGCATGTTTGATCAAAATGCACAACAGGTTTTAGCTTCTTGTCTGAAACTGAACACAGAAGCACCCATTGTTTGAAGTGAACATTGCAATGTGACAACTGTAAGGAGGGATCTGGTGATATATAGAAGGAAGACCCTTCTGTAAGAATTTAAAAGATCCCACACACACAGCTCATGTAAAATGATGTTTATTTAGACAGTACCCTGTACAAAATCTAGGGATCAGAAAGAAAAACAAAACAAAGCAAAATGCCAGTGGTAACAGCTGCAGATATTTTGGTCTATTTCTATCAAATATTTCTCTTTCTTTTTTTGCTTTTTAAACTGAAATTTTGGCATTATAATATCTCATCTTAATTTGATTTCCATTTAGATAAATGTATATATTTTTCACATCCTTTTTTTAGTTACTTAAGAGCATATTATTCTAGTCTGTGTATTCATGCTTTGCAACAATTTTATTTATATACATTTGTTTTGATAATAAATAAGGTAGGAGGAAAACCTTTGGATAAACTGTTTTCCTCATCTGCTAATTTCTTTAGGATAAATTTAAATTTTTAGAATTAGTAGGGAAAAGTATATGAATATTTAATACGTTTAACAAATATTGCCAAATGACTTTCCAGAAACTTCTAACTTGATTATATATCAAATAATTAACGTGTCTGGATGTGTTGTGTTTCTCGACCTCCTTTCCTGCTTCGTTGATTTGTCTATTCTTTCATCGAAAATAATTTGTGTTTAATTAATATAAATTGTATTATGCTGCTATAATATCTGATAGAGGATCTCTAATACAGTTTTGGGGGCTTTCCTCTGTATTATGTTTTTTCTTACAGGCAATTTTGGAAATTGTTATCAATCAAGTGTTATGACTGCATTTAAGTCTGTAGAGGAATTTCTGAGAAATTGGCCTCTTTCATGTTCTCTTGTTCAGAAACATACTAGGTCTCTCCAATTGTTTCCATATAGATCTGGCTCAGGTCAGGAAAACCTTAAGCCCAAATATGATTTTTCAGGAATTCAGTATTTAATGTTGAGAAAAGTTAGGTATAAGAGTCAAAAAACAATTTTGCCCTAGTCAAGTCATCTTTTCTTTGACTAAATTATTTTTCTGTTTGCATAAATACTAGATTTCTATTTTTTGTATTTTCTTATCCAGAAACTAGACATACCTTTACATTTTACTTTTAATTTGTTTTATAACATCTGAATTCAACTGGAATTTATTTTGTGGCCTGGTGGTCGATGTAACCCCACTTGCATTCTTTTTCTATGTAGTCAATTCTTTGAAAGCCTGTTTTGAGGAACATCCCTCCTTACCCATTGTTTTGCAGTGCTTTTTACCAGGAAGTGTAATTATTTACATAATAATTAAATAATTAATATTTAATTATTATGTCAGCTTCGAGTTATGTCAGAGACACATGATAGAGATGTGGAAAATAGATGGTATTCTGCTGATCTGCCTGTCTCTAGGAGCCAGAACTACTCTATTAACAATTATAGCATTATAAAAGTTTTTCTGAGATTTCAATTTTCTCCCTCTTTAAATTTTTTTCCATTTATTTTTGCAGATAGGTTATAGAACTACTTATATACAACCATAACCACAGCCCCAAGAAAAAAGTATTAGTATTCACAGTTTCCTTCCAGAAACATAATTACATAAATTTAAATTATCTAAGTATCCTTTTTATTGCTTTTGTAAATAAAATCATTTGGCTCTGACATAATTAATTTCAAATGATAACTAGGAATCTTTATCCTAATACAATTATTCATTTTAACAGTTTTTTTTTTGAGTTATCAAGTTAGTAAAAGCATTTTCTACAAATCATTATTATTGCCATGATTTCCACTTGCTGTACATTTTTTTTTTAATTTTTTAGTTGTAGTTGGACACAATACCTTTATTTTATTTATTTATTTTTTTATGCGGTGCTGAGGATGGAACCCAGCACCTCGCACATGCTAGGCAAGTGCTCTACTGCTGAGCCTCAAGCCCAGCCCCTTGCTGTATATTTTTATTTACTTATTTTGGTCTTTATTGCTCAATGTGTTAAGTTAAAGAATATCAGCAATTTCAGAATAGACTCTTCCATATGTTGCTGTGTTTTTTAAAATTTTTAAATTTTATTTAAAAATTTAAATTTCAATAATGTTAAAGAAATAGAAGTGATACGATGAGAGATAATGACCGTGACCATTTGTTCTTTTATTATGCAGTAACTTCTGAGTACCTCTTATGTCTTAGCCCCAGCCTAGACTAGAATCACAAGATGTAGTAGGACATGGGCTGTATCATTAAGATCAAAGTCTGGCTGAGCACAGTGGTACCTGCCTGTAATCCCAGCAACTCAGGAAGCTGAGGCAGGAGGGTCTCAAGTTGGAGGACATCCTTAGCAACTTAGTGAAAACCTGTCTCAAAATGAAAATTAAAAAGAGATTGGGGGTGTAACTCAGTGGTACACTATTCCTGGGTTCAATCCCCAGAACAAAAGAAGAGGAGGAAGAGGAGGAGGAGAGAGAGGAAAGAAGAAGAAAAGGAGAGAAGAGGAGGGGGAGGGAAAAGAGAGAGTGAAGAGAGGGTGAAGATATCAGTCTGGCTGAGAAGCAAGCTTGCAAATCAACAAGAATGTAGTGTTGTCATATTGAATTAAGGGATATTTGGTAGGAACACAAAGCAAATGGTCAATAATTGGAAATTTTAATCAGAAACAGTTTCATAGTGAAGAAGCTGTTTCAGATGAGACTTAAGAAAGACAAAAAGAAAAAAGTATTCCAGATAGAAGGAGCAGTTTGAATAACAGCCTAGGAGCTTGACTTCCCATCATGTATTGTAAGGACTATATAACCAGTCTGACATGACTTGGAAATAGTACATGTGGTAGTGATTGAAAATAAAGATGGTATAGATTTACGAGGAGGTGTGACATCAGAGAGCCCCTGACACATAAACCTTGTGGAAATAACAGAATACTGATATCTGCAAAGGATACATTTTTAGCAACAACACAACATTCCATCAGGCATTAGAGACTTCTTTGTATGCATAGATTCTTGAGTCTCCATACATGATAGTGTTAGGGAAAATAACCAGATGATGTCTCATCAAGTCTCAGATAACTTTGGATTAGGGATGACTAAGTCATGCCGCCCCAGTGCATCACCCAAAATACCCAGAAAAATTACTTTAGCATGCCAAGCCCTGCAGGTTCTACCATTTCCTGGGCAACCAGTGCCATCTGATGCCATTGTTCACAGCTGTATAACCTAGTACAGGTAATGGACATGAAGAGGTTGCACTGAAATCGCATATTGATGGTGTCCTTGAACCTAAGCAATTTACTGTAGACCTGGGAGGGCCTGAGCATGGGTTTGGCCACATTCTACAATTGGGATGCACTTAGACTCTAGTGTTTACCAGAGTGGGCACCTCTTCACTATGGAACTGTTTCTGATTAAAATATAAATATATACATATGTATATGTATAACAAATAAATATTTATTTACTTGTTTGTTTGGTTGGTTTTTTGTTTTTTGTTTATTTTTCTTGCAGAGGTTCACAATGACCATGAGTGTATTCAAAGTATGGCAATAAAGAAACCCATTTTGGTTTGGTTTGGGGCAGTTTTTCTAAACAAATAGAACTGCAAAACTTTTTTTTTTTTTCAACATAGTCCTTTAACATCCATAGAACTACTGTTCCACTTGACATTGGGGGAATCTAGAAAGTTTGTGAAGAGCTAGACTATCAAAATCCCTGCACACACCATGACAAAGAGCAGGAGTATGTCCTGTAGGATCTTAGGCAGGGAAATAAGGTGTTCATATTTGCACTTCCCAAAGAAGGGGCAAGTTGGGCTGTCAGTCAAAGTAGCAGGTCAAGAGGGTGGCATCTATGTAAGAGGTATCTTCTTTATGAAAAGAATGGGACTTCCAGGACTTAGTGATCTGCTGAATGTAGGGAGAAGGGCCACACAGAGCAACTCCTGTGAAGGTGGCCCAGGGGCTCACTACATGAGGAGAGTGGCAGGTTTTGTGGGAAAGAGGATGATGCATTCTGAGGCAGCCATGATGAGGACTCAGGAGAGGGGCCCGAAGTCAGGTGGGTGACACATCACAGTGGATGCCTTGAGACCAAAAACAACAGAAAAGGTAAAAATGGGGATGAGAGGGCTCCTCAGAGGGACAGTAATATTGAAAAGGCAAGAGGGAAACGGTAGACGGAGGTAGACGGAAATGAGGAGAGAGTAGTTTCATAGAATTCAAGAGAGAAAAAGGATCCCCCTCCAAAATAATAATAATAGGGCTATCATTTGCATGGCTTTCCTCACAGGAAGTTAGAAGACAATTTTAGCTAAGAGTCATTTAAAATTTAAATAAATAGAAAATGTGGTCTCTATCTCTTTCCTTCATGCTGTTAAGTTTGCTATCGGAGCATTGCATGTGTAGGAAAATTTGCAAATTTGGAAATGCCTAGAGGTTCAAATAATGCGTAATGTTCCAGTCTTAATATTATTATTTATTAGCATGTTACATCATATAACATATTTAAATGCCTTAATTAATATGAGCCAAGCATATATGTTAAACTAAATACCTAAGTGTCACTCACACTTTGCATTTTCTAATCCACTTCAATTTGTTTTCTAATAATTAATATAAACATTTGAGCTGCCTTGAATACTTTTTTTATAAATGCGATGAGTGATCATTTAAAAATGAATTCCTAGAGACAAAATTAAATATTTTTAAAAGCCACCCAAATATTGGAAGAAAATTCTAAGATATTTTAACAAAGCCTAAATCTCACACTTACCCAAAGATTACCATTTTATAATATCTTTAATGTGTCTTTTATAAGCTGACCTCTTAAATGTGGTTGTAAGTGGCATGCTGTAAGTAGCCTTAGCACCCTTAGCAGTGATCTTTCTTACCCAGTAATTTATTTCAGAGCTCTTCCTGATGGCATTGTATTGTCTTCCATTAATTCTAGAAACCTGGCTTTAGAAGCAGAGTAAGGCTAGGATGTAGCTAAGTGGTAGTGCACTTGCCTAGCATGAGTGAAGCACTGGGTTCAATCCCCAGCAACACACACACACACACACACCACAGTATAGTACATTCTCTTGAAAATTAGTTAAAAAATTTTAAGAGCTGTATGAGTATGTAAGGATTCTGAGTTAAACATTAAATATCAAAATTTCCTTTTAAATCAGAATGGGAAATGGAGTCTCAAAGGGGTAAAATTATGATTCTATCCTAAAATAAAACCTTCTTTTCACTTTTTTATTCAGTTTGGGAGTTATGTTTGTTAGTCACTAAGACTCGTGAATGTGGGATAAAACTGTCTAGTGTCAGCTTCTGACATGGACACCTCCCGCACTGGCAAATAATTTATTTTTATGTGCCTTTGCAAAAAATGGAGTTTTTACTTCACAGAATATTTAAGACAATAAAATAAAATCATCAATGCAAAGTACTTACCATGTGTTTACATTTATAGAAAGCAAACAACTGATACACATTTATAATAATCATTTTAATGAGTAAAAAATTTTGCTTTTTTTCTTATTTCTTCCATTTAGCAATTATTATACAAATACAAGCCCTAAAGATGGAGCTCTTCATTTGGAAGCACGAGAAATATACTCTGTTGATCCGTACAACCCAGCAAGCTAATCAGAAGACAAACTGGTATCTAATTAAATTTAAATATTTTTATTCATTTATATGTCAAGATTTCCTTCCATTTTTTACCAATAATCATAGTGCTATTTTATCAATAAGCATAGTACTAAGTATATATTGCTCTGACTTGCACAAATCTTTAGTGACCATGCACGTTGTTAATTTACCTATTAACAACTGATCTTATTGTATTGCCAACTGATCTTCCTGGTTTTGTAAAAGTCCATTCATCCATTCAACAAAGATATAACTAAATAGTACAATGACTAAGAAAGAAAGAATGAAGAAGATAAATGTTATAAAGAGAAATAAAGTAGGCAAAGGAGACAGAGAGAACATGGTGGGTCTGAGTTTTGTCTTTACTAAGAGAATGGCATTTGAGCAAAGAGTAGAGGGCAGCAAGGAGCAGCCCCGGGGCTTTGTGGAGGAAGAGCATCTGAGAAAGCACAAAGATCATGAGGGGCAGTAAGCTGCCATGTTGGAGGCATAGCCAGGTGGTCAATGTGACTTCAGCTGGACTGACCAGGGGGTAGAATCTTTGATTCTCATTAGAGGAATAGAGAATGGGGATAGGGTGATTGTATAGAGTATGTGAGGTCATCGTGATACATTTTTAAGCCAAGAAGCATCACAAGCACCATAATTGCTATGTTAAGAAGAAACTATAGGAAGCCAAGGGTAGAAGTCAGGGTGCCAGTGAGGAGGCTGCTGCAATAACCCAAGCAAGAAATAGTGAGTACCACCACCCCACCAGGCTGGAGAGAAGAGTCCAGATTCCACGTGCATTTTTCAGAGGGTAACAATAGGATTTGCTGACAATTTATTTCAGGATAAGAGAGAGAGAACAAGGCAATGATGATGATGTCAGGGCTTTGGGGCCTAAGCAACCAAAAGGAAAGAGTTGCCATTAAAGTGGTTGGGAATGTGAAGAGCAAGACTGAGGAGAAGAACAGGAGTTCCATTGGGGGATGAGTCATCTCCCATGAGAAATGTACAGGCTGATGTACAAGTCTGTGGTGCAGGCAATAGGTCCAGCCTGGAGATATGCATGTGGGCCTTGTCTGGGTGTGGATGTATGTGACAATGAGATTAAATAAGATCAACAAGGGTGGGTGTGGTGTAAGAGGCTAGGGAAGAGAAAAATTCCCAGGTCCTGAGCCTTGGGTACTCCAAAGGAGGAGATATGGGTTGAGAAGGGACCAACAAAGGCTGGAAGGAGCAGAAGAGGATCCTGATGCAGAAGAGTCCCAGAGTGTGCTGTTGGAGAAGTCAAATGGAGAAAGAAGAAAGCAGCAGGGGCCAACTCCACCATCTGCTATAGATAGGTCACAAAAGATGAGCAGTAGAAATTGACCATTGGCTTTAGTAGCACAAAATCTATTAATGAACTCGATGAGAACAGTTTGGGCAGAAAGTAGACATGTAGAAGTAGGACTGGCATGACCTTATGACAGAATGAAAGAAGATAAATTGTAGATATCAATACATACAGCTTTTTCTACGTGTTTTTCTTTAAAGGGGACCAGATCCATAGAGTGACAGCAAGAGGCAGAAAGAAGAGGAAGAAGTCAGGGGAGATATTTTTTAAGAATGGATAAATAGCTATTATGCTGCTGTTCTGTATGCTGATGGGAATGATCTGGGGGAAAGTGATGGCAGGAAAGAGGGAAGCTTTGCTGGAGCAGCATCTAAGGGGCACTATAAGGAATAGGCTCTACTGCTTGAGCAGAGAGATTGGCCTGCTATGGGAGAAGGCTTTGTCACAGAAGGGAAGGCAGAATAGACAGGTGCAGGAGAAGGCAGGTGGGAGGTGTGGTGGTGCATGTGTGGTAGTGAATGCATGGGTGGAAATTCCCCTTGATGATTGTCTTCTCAGTGAAAAGAAACAAATTGATCAGCTGACACTGAGAATGGAAAAGACTCTAGAGATTAAGGAGAATGGAGAAGCCATTTTTATAGTAAACTAAAATTGAAGACTAAATCAGAGGGAGTACAGAAATGTGGACAGGCACCCTAAAGGATCCATCTGAGGCAGAAAATGGGGGTGAACACCAGAAGGTTTCCTCTGCCCAGTCATTTATGTTGAGCGTCTTCCATGCCCTCACTATCATTCTGAAAGACAGATACTATCCCCAAATAATACCAAGATGAAATAATATCCTAGATGAGAAAAAAAAAAAGAAAAAACAAGACTAAAAGATTCTCTTGGGCAACCTCAAGAATTCAAGTTCCAAAGTGACTTGAAAGTGCTTTCTCCTACACAACCTATAAGACAAAAAAAAAATGAAGTTACCACCTCTGCCCTTTTGGAAATTACTTAAGGAATATAAAACTTATATATCATAGGGTCAGAATAAATACCATAAGCAATGTACAGAAAAGCCATAGTGGTAATGGAGGAAGAAAAGTTACTAATAGAGAGTTGTAGAAAAAGGGAAGAGGAGAGCAGGATACTTCATACCAGAGAGATCTCCAAATCCAAACCATGAGAGACCAGAGTAAACCCATTGAATAAACATTTGTTGAATGAATGAATGAGAATGAGATGATTACTTCCATTTCTCCCTCATTGGGTTATTCACATTTATCAACATAAATACAATTATTATCTGTTCCAGATCCTGTTTTCTGAAGAAGCATGTCTTTTGGAATGATGTCTTCTAATAGGCGTTAAAGGTTATAATTGAATGAAAACATTAACGCTCTCATTATTTGAACATCAAGTTGCACCGCTGCCGCCTACACAGGAAGGACCTATTTCAATGTGGTTCATGACTTGGAATCGCACAGAACATTCATTGGAAAGACATCACCTTAAGATCAGCAAGTCTCTTTGTGTGGTCTCAACGTCAGTCAAGTGATTTCATAAGCTAATAACTTCCTGTATGTACTTATTCCCAAGCAAATCAAAGAAAATTTGCTTGACATTAAAGACAGGAACTGAGGTTCACTGCCATGAGTAGTGCAAGGATTTGCCAAAGACTCCCTCTGATCTGCCTAAAGCCAGGCTGTGGCAACGAACAAGGACATGGCTTTAGAAGTGTCACCTTCTTACCAAGGCACTGAAAACAGCTGTCTTCGCCTCTAGACCAATCCTCTTTTTGTAGCCAGCAAACTTTCTGTTGCCATATGCTTTGGGTTTAATGTGGCTTTAATTACTTAAGCCACATACAGAGTACCCCCTGTGATTATGATGGGCCTGCCTTTTGGAAAAGACTGGCTTTATTTTAATAGTAGCTTCCTTTTCTTATGTGGTTAAATATTTCACTTTTAGTCCCATTTGTTTTAAGTTTCTCTGGCAATACTGTATAATATTTTTTGCCTTTTCCATAATCACTGATTTCAATTTGCACAAGTTTTTTTTAATTATAGGAGTCAAGTTTTAATTCTAATGATTTGGTATATATTTCAAGCTTTGGATATTTTTAATGTGTACATTAGTCGTTCAAATAAACTGTATTTGAAAAAAAATCACTTGCCTTGTATGATTCTGTTTTTTCTGGAATCAATACTTTTTTTTTCTTTTGTACTAGAGATTGAAAACAGGGGTGCTTAAACATTGAGCCACATCCTCAGCCCTTTTTATGTTTTATTTTGAGACAGGGTCTCACTGAGTTGCTCAGGGCTTCACCAAGTTGCTGAGGCTGGCTTTGAACTCATGATCCTCCTGCCTCAGCCTTCCAAGCTGCTGGGATTCCAGGCCTGTGCCACCACACCTGACTGGAATCAATAAACTCCTGACATAACTGACATAGTTATGTCTTGAATAACAGTCACAGCCCTAGTTCATAGTTTTAAGTTATTCATTCTGGATCCCACCACTTGATCATTGTAGAAAAACTCTCAACCTACAAGTTCAAATTCCTCACTACCAATGCCTTCTCTTGTATTTATCCAGCTCACCTTTCCTCTCCCATCACACTCTAGCTCTAGCTGTTAATTTTCTGTGTTCAGTCATTTAAACTATTGTGACACAAAACCCTGCTCAACAGTGACCACAAATTTCCTCTCTCCACTTTTTCCTAGATGAGATATGCAGTTCAGCATATTTTTTGTTATGTTTTTAAGTTGTGGTTTTGTTCAAAAAACCCCACACATTTAACATGAAATTTACCATCTTAACCATTTTTAAAATTGCAGTTCAGTAGGACTAAATGTAGTCACATTTTGTAAAATAAATCACAAGGATTTTTTTTTTTTACCTTGTGAAACTGAAAATCTATATCCCTAAAAAATAAATTCCCATTCCCTTCTTCCCTAGCTCCTGGACACCATCATTCCACTTTTTGTTTTCTATGAATTTGACTACCTTAGAAGCCCATAGCAAGTAGAATCACACAGTCTGGCTTATTTCCCTTAGTATGATGCCCTCGATGTTTGCCCCTGCTGTAGCATGTGACAGGATTTTCTTCTTTTTTTAAGGTTAATATTCTGTTACCTATTGTGTTAGCTTTCTGTCACTGTGATAAAATACTTAAGATAAACAATTTAAATAAGGAAAGGTGTATTGGGGCTCATGGTTTTAGCGGTTATAGTCCATGGTCACTTGACTCCGTTATTTTGGGCATGGGGTGTCACAGTACATCATGGTGACAGCATGATAGAGGAGGTCTGTTCACCTTTCCTCATCATGGCCATGAAGCAGGGGGCAGGGGGTATTCAGGGTTGAAATATAAGGGCACACCCCCAATGACCTAACTGCCTCCCGCTGGGCCCCACCTCTTAAAGGTTCCGCCACCTCCCAATAGCACATGGGCTGATGACCAAGCCTTTAATACTTGGACCTTGGGGGTTACTTCCAAACCACAGCACACATACATACCACATCTTGTTTATCCATTTATCTCTTGGTAGACATTTGGAGGTGTTGCTTCCACCTCTTGACTATTGTGAATAGTGCTGTCATGAACATGGTTGCAAACATCTCTTCAGATATTTCTTTCAAGTCCTTTAGTCACTCACAGTGGGACCATTTTTATTTCCCTATGATATCTGTTCACTTACCTCAAATCTTCTATTCTACCTTCAACCCTCCTTCCTTGAACTCTTAGCAGGTCATGAACACATCAAAGGGCAATTGTCTTGGCCTTCTCTTTCTCCACCTCCACTCACCCTCATTCTCATTTCCATCCACCACTTTTTACAGATGGTATCATTCTTTTCTCACCACATCCTGCCTCTTCTAGGACACTGCTCCATCAGTTGGTTACACTCTCTCCCCTCTCTGGCTCCTTCTTCCCACCTATAGGCCTCCTCAAGCCAGGACCCATTTAGCTGCAAGGGAGAGCAATCCATTTCTCACTGGCTTAGGTAAAAAACAGAATTTATTATATGACAAGACAGAAAAGACCCAGGGTATAGTTGGCTTCTCTCAAAACAGAAATTAAATATTCAAATCATATCCTCAGAAGTCAGTCATATCTCTGATTCTGCGTTACCTTACTGGTTTTATTCTCTGGCAGACATTCTCTAAAAACTACTATTTGATGACATTGCCAAAGCCACATCCCACTAGCTTAGCACTCCAGTACAAAGAGCTTCTCTCGTAAACAAATTCTTCAATAGTTCTGATTTACCCAAATAGGGTTACATGCCTCCAAACGAACCAATTACAGGGCCTCAGTTGCCTGCCCAGCTTTGGAGCTTTGGGATAAATCTTTGGAGCTTTAGGATAAATCTATCTTGGTGGCTCCCAAATGGGACTATTTCCCCCCAAGGGACCCTTGGCAGTGTCTGGAGATATTTTTAGTTGTTACAACTGGACTGTGGGGATGCTACTGGCATCTAGTGGATAGAGACCAGAGATATGGCCAAGCATGCTATGACTCTCAGGACAGCCCCCGCCTCAAGATGAAGAGTTACCTAGAACAAAATGTCAACAGTATTGAGGTTGAGAACCCACAGTCTACCTGAACTACATGGAAGCAGAGGAAAAAGTGGATTTTCTAGTGGAAAAATATGGGGAGAAATTCCAGAGGAAGGAACCCATTTAAAGCAATAGATTGCAACATTCCCTCCATTTCAAAACAAATCCTCTCTAAATTATCCGTGTTTCTTTTTCAAACTATCTTCTTTTTAACCACTAAATTTTCTGAAACAGTAGTTGACCTTAATCGTCTCAACCATCAGTCATTCGTCTTCCACCCTCTACGTGCTAATCACTGTTTTAGGTCAGTGGGATTCAGCGGTGATAAAATTGACATGTCCTCATTCAGCATTTATTCTAGAAGGAGAGACAGACAATAAGCAGACTGTCAAATGGCAATAAA